CTAATTTCCACAATTCAAGGTGCTGTCCAATTAGGTCATGACATGGTCAACATTGCCTTGAATCTCTCCTGATATAACTCAGGGGTCATAACATGTTTCTTGATATTTAGCCTGAGTTCTATCAGGTATCATAACAGAAAAACAAACTCAGCCCGTCTGATGTCATACGATCAATGTCATAGCATTGGTCATGACATTCAGCTTCACTTCCTCTTAGTTGACCAGCTTGCCCGGCTGAACACTTCTGCAAAATCTTCATCATGACAATCATGGTTTCTCCAATCTTCTGCAGAATAATATTAGAAACAAGTATATTCAAGTTTCCTAAAAGGTCTCCAAGATCCTTTTATGAATACCAATACAATATGTTCTTGTTCCTAATCAATCTTCTTGACATATTTACTGATGAGGTATTTTCAACATGGTCTCATCAATCCAAACCAATTATGTCAAAAGATATGCACTAGCAGCTCCTTCTGTTGTCATGCAGCTATGTCTTGCTTAAAACACATGACAACACACCTAATTACTTTGTTAATGACATTCATTACAGCTGTCCTTTCTTTAGCCTCTGCTAGCTCTTGCTGCACTCGACCTTGATGTCAGCCTCCAGTGCCTGTTGTGCCTGACAGCTATGTCATTACTTTGGTAATGACATCCATGACAACTGTCCTTTCTTCAGCCTTTGCTAGCTCTTGTTGCACATATCTCCTGCAGCATCCATGACAACAGTTATGTCGTTTGTTCTTGTTAGCTCCTGCTGCTCAGAGCTCCTGCTGCACCAGATGTCAACCCATGATAGCAGTTCAATTATTCATATGTCATTACTTTGGTAATGGCATCCATGTTCAAACCACATGACAACAGTACTTTCACCAGCTCCTGCTTGCTCCTTTAGTGATGTCATGACTATGGTAATGACATCCAGTTTAACATTAGTGCAAAATCTTGTTTTACCATAATTTAGCCAATCATAGAACCATGGACAATTCTATATCATAGAACCATGAAACCAACATATTTTATCACTTTTGATCCTTATAACATGCTTGCTTGAAGTTGTAACTTGTTTGCATCAATTTCATATGAACGTTATAGATGAACTTGTTGTTGTTACACATGTTCTTTGCTTACATTGTTGGTTATTACCTCTATGTCTTTTTATCTTTGTTAAGATGTTAAATATTGATCTTGATTGTTATCATGATTGTTTAGATGCTCTTATTTTTTTTCTTCAACTTTGTCAAGTTATTCCCTAGTGATGGAACTTGTTAGTTCACATCAAGTTGTCTATATCCATGATGTCCAAAGGAAAGTCTCTCATTGACCTCTGGGTCATAGATAACTCATTACCCTTATAGGCCTTGATAGAGCCTCCTCCCTCTTTTTGGCCTGGATAGAACCAATTGGTCTTACAATGTAGAATTAGGTACAGTTGGTTAACTCTATGTAAGAATCATGGTGATGATTACTTACTCCCCATTCTTGAGTGTTCAATATAGATCTAGAGAGTTTGGTTAAACTCTACACAATCATTGTTATATTTGTCCCCCTAGAGTCTTGACTATAATTAATTAATTTTTAATCCTCGGTGAGGTGAACTACGATTAGTCTGATTCTATCCTAGTTAGGATACGTAGGCAGAAGATGTAATATCTTTGCGAGCATTTAGAAATATCAACCTTAGGTCTTTACTCAAACCAAAATCTCAAACCATAACAAGCTTATCATACACACATACAAAAGGTTCATGTAGAGTACTACAAATGTTTAGAATGTGAAATACCTACCCTAAGCATAACCAACCCCCGATCTCCGATCTCTTAGCTTTGTTGTTACATCGCGCAAAAGGTCTTTCATTCTTTAACCTCTCCTTTGGATAAATCAAAATCCGATTGTGAATATAATGAATTAAGATTCAAGTTAATCAATAGTTTGACATCACGATTCTCACCGCAATAGAAGCCGCCTCCAACTCTGCAATCTGCACCAAGAGTCTCGTCCTCTTTTCACCCGCGAGCTTCAACCGCCTTTCCACCTCGCCGTGAAGCTTAAGCTAGGTAGAACTCTTTTCTTTGGCCTGGTCGAGATAAGCCGCCAACTTGTTCATCTCTGCCTCGACAATCCCAAGGTCATCCTGCAATTTGAATAGGTCGGCAGAAGATCGAGCCTCATCGTTGAGGACCAAAGTCGTCTCGAAGACCCACATCACTGCGACCAAGTCCTTCGCTAGAGCCTTCTTACTCGTCTTCCGGTCAGCGCCTAGGATGACTTTGGTCTCTGCGGCACCCACCACTGTGAGTTGGCCCCACAAAAGAACGTGGGCTGCAGATGACAGCGTGGGAGCAAGAACCTCTCCTCGGTATTGTTTTCGATGAGGTCGACGATCTCGAGCTCATTAACCTGTGCCCTCTTAGATGTCCCCTGTGAGGAGGGGGACTGGCTGCCCTGGGGGGGGAAGAGGAGGAGTAACCGGGCCCCTGGTCGGGACCAAGCATATGCTGTACATGAGCAATCCTCCCCTTACCAGATTTCTTCACACCTCTACTGGCCGCCAACCTCTTCATACGGTCGTGCATGCTTGACATTTCTCCTGCAAAAGAAAAATAAACAAAGTCAGTAAAACACAAACTAACAATAAATGCACAGACAAGGCCCGAGCATAAAGCGGACCCACTACCTAAAAGATGCAGGGCTTCCTCATTGGACCCACACTCGAGGACAATCCACGTATTGATCAATCACGACTCCTTAAGAATCGCCTCGTTCGAGTCGAGGATAAAATTCCCGTCTGACGTCACGCACTTTGCAGGGGTGAAACTAGCCACAAATGCGACCAGCTTCTGATAGGCCACCTGGTCGTCGGCATCCAACGAGCCTACCCGCACTATGTAGTTGTCCGTGCCCATATTGAAATGTTCCTCTGTCCAAATCAACAAAATCTTCAGCACTTAGACTTCCTCCGGCTGCCCGTCTTTTCACCGGACCTCGAAGTTGAAAAGCGAGTCCACAACCGTGTTAGTGATGAGCTTGACAACGTAATACCGGTCCTTGAAAGCTCAGATGGAATCCAAGTACACTCGGAAAAGCCTCCTTGGTTGCTTCAAGGACACCCATGTGTCGACCGTTGAGCGTTTGTCTTTAAAGGTGGAAAATGCGGAAGAAAAGGGTGAGAATGGCCTCGACATTGAGATGTCGACAGAAGAGCTCATACGCCCGCACAGACGCATGGGAGAACCCTCACAGCGGTCCTCGACATTAGCATATGTGTCAGACTCATCCACGACAAAGCGAGAAGAGATACTCAGGGGCTCCTCCCCGGCCCAATCCGCGGCAGACCTTCTTTGTTTTCCACCGGCCTGCACCATCGGGGAATCGGGCTCGTCGTCAGTTTCAATAACCCCTTTACCCAAGCAGCCATTTACACCTGAAAAGCAAAGAAAATTGGTGAATTCGACATTCTAGATCAAATCCACCCTTCCATCGCAGATCAAGTGAAAGGGCGGAGATGAGAGACCCCTAGGGACAAGGGTTATCCCGCCTCGACAGACGAGAGCGGATCCCCGAGGCTTTCATCTCTTGCCCCTGGGAGGTTCATCCAAAACTATCCTATGTCCTCAGGGGCTTCATCGCTTGTCCCCGGGAGGTTCATCCAAAACTATCCTCGTCCCCAAGGACTTTATCGCTTGTCCCCGAGAGATTCATCCAAAACTATCCTACGTCCCCGGGAGCTTCATCACTTGTCCCCAAGAGCTTTATTCTAACTCTACACTAATTCAAAGAAGTTCCGACGTATTCACCAGAAACTTCACGGTCTCCCCGGAGCATTCATCCAGTCCACCGGAGAAACCATTGAAAAATAGGAAAAACGAGAGTAAGGCAGCAGAGACTTACTTGGTACGACAATTCTGGAAGGACGATATGGTGGTAGACGGAAGACGCCTCGGTGCTGAAGTTTGAGAAGCGCGATGAGAAGAAGAGGAATCGTCTTGAACGGTAGAAGCGAAAAGTGAGAACTAGCCGCCCCTAGGCACTCAAACTCCCCTACCCCTACCTGCCCTAGCTAAGCAATGATTGTCTGACACATGGCAGTACTAAAAGCTTCACATTCATTCGTCTCCCTTTCGGGTTCGAAGAGCGAGCACATCCTTCATGGTCCACCTCCCTGACATGCTATCCTGTCGAGCATCCTCCGCTCCATACCTGGTACGCGACTCCCAATTCTATGTTTCGGGAAAATATCATCTCCCAAAGAGGTCCTGAACATTTCGACCCGCCCTTAAGTCATTACTCCTCCATTTAGGAGCAATGACTTAGGGGGTTCCTGTTCTGGACTGGGCCGAGACTTGCCTCTCAGACGGGCAGACCCAACCCAATACTATGCTGATGAGGCTCAACAAGATCCAATCTTCTCTGTCGGACACAAGCCTCAACAAGGCACACTAGTCGGGTAGAGTATTATCTTGCACGGGAAGAGCTCACACGCTTTCTCCACGAACTCCACGTGCCCCTCATTGAAGATCACAGGGCAGTTGACCCAGGGCAAAGTCCACGTGTTGGTCTTCACTACGTCACGTAAGCCTTGACAATTACTTGTGTTGGGTTTGGAAATCCGACCCAATGCAATGTAACCGTTGGCCCTGCGCTGGGGGCATATTATAAATATCTTTTTTTACTAGAGGATCAGGTATCTTATTCACTAAACTTTTTTTTTCTGTACTTGTTCTCTCTATAGTTTCATTACTTAATTAAGCATCGGAGCATCTTGTATGTAAACCCCATTTCTCCTCTACAATACCGGTAAAAACAGTAACTCACGACGTGTGGTAAACTACTGACTCCTTTCTGATCAGCTAGAATCAAATAACATAAGTGATAAAAACAAAAATTAAAATTTAGAAAATGAGATCTAAGAATGACATATGAGCAAAATGTAATTTGCTTTACAAGTATTTATAGATAGCAAATGAATTGAAGAACAAAAGATAAGATCTACAACCATGCCATTCTTCTCATGCATGTTTCTTGTCTTATTAATCCTAACAGCACGTCACTCTACACTTTCACTTTCAGAACAATGTAACCTATATGACAGAAATACCCTACTCCAAATCAAAAAAGAACTTGGCAACCCAACCAAACTCTCTTCATGGAACCCAACCACCGACTGCTGCGACAACTGGTACGGTGTTTCATGCGACTACAACACATCGCTCTACCGTGTCATCCATCTTGGTTTCGACAACCTCGACCTCCCTCAACCCGTTCAAATCCCACCCTCCATTACTAACCTCCCTTTCCTCCTCTGCCTCTCTCTCGACAACAATCCCAACCTTGTCGGCACTATCCCGCCCACCATCGCCAACCTCACCAGACTCGAGTACTTTTTCCTCAGCCACACCAGCATCTCCGGTGAGATACCCAACACTCTCTCTAAGAACAAACGCCTCTTAAGCCTCGACTTTAGCAACAGCAAACTCACCGGTCCTCTCCCTAACATCGGCGGAATCATTTTCTCCGGCAACAAACTCACTGGTACAATACCAGAATCGTATGGTTCGTTCCCGGAATCCTTTACAGTGCTGAATCTTTCGCGAAACCGTCTCTCCGGGAAGGTTCCGGCGTCTCTGGCGAAACTGAACCTTTTGTTTGTGGAATTAGAACATAACATGTTGGAGGGTGATGCTTCAGTGTTTTTTGGGTCGAAGAAAAGCACTTTCAAGATATTATTAGGGAAGAACTCTTTTTCTTTTGATATTGGGAAAGTTGGGTTGTCGAAGGATTTGCGTGCTTTGGATTTGAGTAATAATAAAATCTACGGTTCTCTACCTGAAGGACTGACTAAGCTGAAGTATTTGCATGAGTTGAATGTTAGCAACAACAATTTGTGTGGTCAGATTCCAAAAGGTGGAGAAATGCAAAGGTTTGATGACTCTTCTTACGCTCATAACAAATGCTTGTGTGGATCTCCTCTGGTAGCTTGCAAAGCTTGAATTGAATGCATAAGATAAGTGTAATTTATTGTGTTGTTGTAATTTCGGATGATTAATTATTAATACATCTTATATATTTTATTTTTTTCAAAATTATTTGTAAATATGAATGTCAATTTGCATCTCTTGACTGGATCATCATGGAAATTATTTGTTCAAGACTTTGAAGTCGAGACTTTTTTCCAAGATGAAGAAAAAGGTTTCCTTGACGAAAGAATTAAAATTTGAATTAACTTATCTTTATAAAATCGATTTTAATCAGCGTGAAATTTTAGTTTTTTTTCAATGTTCAATAACACTTTAGATTAGATATCGGAGAAATATCTTTCATCTCTACCGATATTATTTAACTTTTATATATAGTATATATTATATAATTATTCAGGACTTTAATTAACTTTTATATAATATATAATTATATAATTTTATATAAAAAATAATAGATTAAAAAATATAGAAATTTTCTTCAGCTTCAGTTGTGGAGATCTGTGAACATAAGGATGGGAAAAATACTAATAGCTTTAAAAAATAAAGGTGTTTGTGATCATATAAATGAAAAAAAAAACATATATTTTTTAAAATCAAAATGGAGTATAAAGATATTTTAATATGAATGTACTACTGTATTAATATTATACTTTAGTATAAATAATTACTTTTTAAAACTGTACACTAGTAAAAAAACACATAATATGAAATAGATTGAATAGCAATAATGAAAGAAAAATAATACAGTAAATTAAATGACATTCTAGTGGTCAGTTGATTTATAATTTTTAGATTGTACTTAAAATATATTTTTATTTTTAAAATTGTTTAATAATTTAAATTTATTTTTAAAAAATAAATAATAAAATAATGCGGATTCGAATCCACTTTTCTTTATATTGTTTTAACAAAATTTAAAATATGTTATATTATTGCTAAAATACCTTGGTAGCAGCAAAGACTTCTAAAGAAAATAATAGAATAAAGAAATAAGAGATATACTAGTGTGGGACGAAAGGAGAATGAAAAAGTAACATTGCATGTTTGTGAATGAAAACACAAAGGAAAAGGAAAGAGAGTCACGTAAGTAGTTTACTTAATTAAACCTTTGGCACGTAATTGCGGTCGGCGGGAAAGTGGAAACTAGTGAGCAAAAGGAAAGATAGGAACTCTTTGGTAATATGGACATCTAGGTAGTAAATTTGAGAATAGAAAATAGTCCCACTAATAAAAAAAGAATCATTTTTTTTAATTCATAATATATTTAATTCATGACTCAATCCAAATAAATATATTATTATTAAAATTTTAAAAATAATTTTTTTTCTATAAATAAGACTGAAGCTATTTGTATCAACACACATTTGGTAAGTTACATGACAATTTTGGAGAGAAGAAATGTTAACCGTTTCGGTGAGTATGAACAAAATAGAAAACTAGTTATACCTTCAAAAAGAGATAAAAGAGTGAAAGGTTTGAATTTGTTAGAATCTCAAAAATAAAAGACAAAAATTGTTCGCAACAAAATTAGAAAATATCGACTTTGGGTCGGTCGCCCAGAACTAGTAGAACGCGAGGTACAATGTCATAAGGATGCAAAGTATGGCAAATATATAAGGGTTAGTCCTAACTCATTTTGCGTGACTACATCTTAGAACCCAGTGAACACCGTCAGATTCATCTTATAGCCACCCACGTTCGACACTCTCATTTTGTATTTCAGTTACCAACAAACTCCCCAATAAAAGCAGGGTTAGCGCGCCATTTTAAGGTACCTTCACTTCCATTTGACATTTCATTAATTCACTTCCTACACTAACTTGAGCGTTGGAATGTTAACCTTGCAGGTTAACTTTGTCCACTGCATCGGAATCAAAGCTCCAATGTGACGACGTTCAATTCAACATATATGATCATTATCTCGTTGTCGCACAGGGAAGGACAACTTACCCGACAACTGAAGCAGATGGGGTGCCAGCAGCCGTACCCGGAGCAGAAGCTCCACCAACCAAAAGCATGCTCGCGACAGCGATAACTCAGATCTTTTTCTTCAACCGTCGTATGACATCCCCACTCTTCATAATCTATAAATAAGACGAAAACATTAGGAAGACCAAAAGAAGGTAAAAGAAAATATGTAATCTTAAAGCCTACTTACCAAATATCTTCTTCCCCTATTCTTTGGACTTGATGTCTATGGTCCAACGAATTTTGATACATCTCTTCAGTCGGATCTTGGAAGCAAGGTTAGAGGGAACCACCCCACATACATAGTTAAGCTTTTGGAAAAAGACACTAACTGGCCTTTTAAGCACAACTTTTCCTCAAACAAATCTTCTTCCTTGTAGCAACACATCCCCTACTCCGGTAAGGAAATGATTCATAGTCCAATATTTGCGAAAAATATATGTCCAAGAAGAAGGAACATCGGGAATTAAGTTACAAATTTTCAAATGAGCTTCTTGGTTGATGGGGACCACCAAGAAAAAATGACCGTTAAAGTTTTTCACGATATCAGAATAAGGAGAAGTATTTAACATTATGTCATAGTGAAACTATGCCAGAACCATATGTAAATTATAACCACTTTACATCGTGAAGAGGAGAAAGAACAATGTCATTGTTGAAAGACTTTGACAAACACCCAACTCACAGGATGAAATTGTGAAGGAGAAATAAGCAAATGATTCAAACCATTGATCTCAAACTCATTAAAGGGGAGAAGATAACCAACCAGGGAGAATAAACATTCATGAAATGGGATCAAACACCCAACACATTGGTGTTGCACCCCAAAATTTGCCCTCGCTTTTTAACCTTTGACTGGTTTTTGCTTCGCATTTCATTTGCATATCATTTAGGTCGATCATTTCTCGCATACTGTCCATGTTATCAGCCAGAATGGATTTATCGGGATTACAACCGCTTTGTTCACGTTTTAGACAATTTAAAACTAGTTCAGATGAGGAGATTTATTTCGGAATCGGGTGAAAGGTTGTTCTCTTCCTGGTGGTTCAGTCCGTGCTGATAATCATGTTGCGTTTCAGTGTTCGCCTTTTTTTTTCCGTGGCATTTTGTGATTTTTATTTCTATTTTTGCTTTAATTTCTTTTTATAGTTTTAGAATTAATATTAAGTTTTTATTTAGAATATTAGATTATTACTTAGAATTTATTAGAATTAGAAATAGCTTTTAGAATAGAGCTTAAAGTTTTAATTAGGATTTAAATAGAATTATTAGAATATAATTTTATTTTTGATTTAATTAGGATTAGAAAATAGAGTTAACTAGAATTTAAGTTTTTATTTTAGAAAATAGATTTTAATTTAGATTAATTAATAGGTTTTAGAATTAAAATTTTATTAGAGTTAGAATTATTAGAATTAATTTAAATTAGTTTAAATAGGATTAGAATTAGAGTTTCAGAATTTTAATTAATTGATTAGGATTAGATTTTAATTAATAGTTTTATTATTATTGTTAATCATTAAATAGTACAATTATCAATTAATCTAAAAAAGACAACAACAAAAAACAAATTGGAGACAGCCAGTGCCACGTGTCAGATTTTGAGTATATAGTTCTCCTGTTCATTTTCTCCTTCATCTGGAAAAACCTAGCCGCAAAACTCCTCTCCCAACCACTGTTCATTCTCTTCTTCACATATCCTAAACCCTAGCCGCTGGTTTTCTCCCCATTTTCACTGTTCATTGTCATCTTCTACTCCTCCACCTCTTTCCTTCCGCCGCGAATCACTTCGTCTCCTTCCAAACCTCATTTCCGCCATAACCGAAACTCCACCCAATTCTTCCTTAATCTATCCATCTCCAACCCAACCATGAAACCCATTCCCTCTTTGATAAACCCATTTCTCCATCAAAACACAATCAATGATCTCAACAAACGAAACTCACCAAAACCTCTCCTGTTCATCTTCCTGACCAACAAAACTCATTTTCGGACCAACACCTTCTTCTTCTTCACATAACCCTCGCGACCACCACTAACCTCTTCTTCATCATTTTCGCTCAGCCCCCATACGACATTCTCGTCCATTCTCCAGAACTCTCTTTTTCTCCTCCATTCACCTTCTGTAAAACCACCATCCTCCAATAAACAACCCCAGATTCTACTTCAAACCCTTTCGCCGCCGGTAATCCACTCGAACAACCCACAAACCTGATGAATTGGCGAGAGGAGTTTGAGACGCGTGAGAAGGATTTTAAGGAAGTTGCGAGATTGAAACACAGTAGATCAGAGAGGATTTGTTTCGCTTAGATTTCACTGTGATTAACCTTGTCTTTTATTTTCTTTTTAAGTTGATGCATCTCCTCATGGCCACCCAGAGTTTCTTGGATGGACTGTTCTTCTTCACGTGGTTTTTGTTCTAGAGAAGTGAAAATGGGACTGTTTTGTTTAAGCATTTGTAAATGTTGCTGTTTGTCCCACTTCCGTCTTGTGTGGTGATGGGCCTTGCCCAAATGATCCGTAAATCACTCTTTACATCCTTTTTTGTATTCTTTTAATGAAATTTCCTAAAACTAAAATGTAATATATTATTATATAATATAGTTTTTAGAGTTTGTTAATGTATTAGCTTTTTTAAAATAGTTTTTTTTTAGATTTCAATACTTTTCTAATATTCTTTTAGTGTTATATATATATATATATATATATATATATATATATATATATATATATATATATATATATATATATATATATATATATATATATATATATATATATATATATATATATATATATATATATATATATATATATATATATATATATATATATATATATATATATATATATATATATATATATATATATATATATATATATATATATATATATATATATATATATATATATATATATGATCTGACCTGATCAGGAGGGATCACGGACTGGCCACGCTTCGCCGGACGGTTATCTGTTCGCCGAGGTAAGAACGAGGAGGGGGTGTACCTGCAAAGCACTCCGACGCCCAAGTAAGAAGTTGG